GTTAAAGTGGACGGAAGCCGCGAAGGTAGAGGGGGGAGTACCCTGGCATGCGGCGGTGCTGCAGGGAGCTGAGAGGTTCATGGCCTCCTGGCACGAGAAGGAAGAAGAGGCCAGCCGACAACGGGCGCTCAAACGAAACCACAAGCCACCAACCAATGGGGCGGGAGGGGGGCAGGAGACGGACGAGACGGCGAAGGAAAATAGCAAACAAGAGACGGACCGAGTGGCGCGATACGTGCCGGACTGAATTTCTTTTAGCCAATTTCCCCCCCTCAACGCTGCACCATTGCACCGACCTCCCACTAGTGATGACGTACCATTACAATGTATCGCTGGTGGGTGGCCATGTTTGCGTGTTTGCTTGTCGTTAGTGGTCTCTCCACCCTGTGCCTTTTTCTGTCTCTTATTTCTTGTTATTTTCGGCCTGGTCCCTTTTTGTCCTCCCTCTTTTTATTTCATTTTCTCTTTCCTTACTGTTTCCTTTTATTTTCTTCTCTTTTTCTGTACCAGATGGCCTTGTCTCTGCTTGCGTTGTGAAGTACCAAGATTGAACCAATGGGGTGTACCTCTTTCTCTCCGGCCCGTGATGGTGACTCCTCTGGTCTCAGTTGTTATACCTCGCATAGCGCGCAGAGGGAGTGGAGGACTCCAGAATATCTGTCGTTGATTTCTATTGACTTGCGGACCCCTCGGGGCCATTTTATTTGAGTGTACCTTTTGAGGGTAAGTTAGCCTGCGACCACGGGAATCGACCGCGTCGAGTGTTGTGTCAGTACGGACATACGAAGGTACTGGGTAGAGAGAGATTGGAACGGTTAATGTGAAGACAACAACAACAACAACAACAACAACAACAACAGTGGTTAGTTTCTTGGACGGCAGTAGGTGACCGGCCCGAAGGCAAATCGCGAAACCCAACAAGCCTGGCTAAAAAGGGGACGCTCTGGCAAAAGGGCATCCCTTTGCACAATCTTACATCTTTACTAGGACCTCGTTGTTTTTTACTGTTTTCTCCCTTGCAACGGAAGTGCGAGATGTGATACAAGGCTTGCGTCTTGGCGTTTGGTTGCTGACCTCCCATTTCACGCCATTAGACCTTTCAGACGGCCACGCTTAACACAGACATCAGCAGCCGTGCGTGAGCTCAACCTCAAAGCATATAATGTTGCTTGTACGTTTGGTGGGGCCAGTGGGCATTTCGGCGGGTGGTGGAGCTGGGTCTCATACAGAGGATTTTCCGTATTTCGTTTGAACATGTCCGTTGTTCTCCTGCGTCACGAAGCACAGATATCCCCAAACCTGTAGAGGTTTCCACCAAGGTTTCCGTCCTTGTCGTAGGCTGACCAGCTCCAGGTGGAAGGCATCCAGAATTAAAAGACAGATATGAGATTGTGTTGGGTCCAGCGAGAAATAGTTCAATATCTACACAAGAAACGGTAAGCCGCCAGAAAAGGGTGCACCCGGTCAACAGGCAACCCAGGGTTCATGGTTGTAGATAGCGTGAAATGATGCCAGCTGATTCCTCGACGCCGACGTTCACGTTGCCGTGCCACAGAATGCGCAGGCTGCTCGTTGGAAGTGTACACTGAAGTTCGGGAAATGTATCCTGACCTGGAGAGAAATGAGACCCATCAGCTGGCCATTTTCTCCGCAGAAAACACTTTCGTCCCAACCAAGGGAGCCGAAACCACGAGCCTTCCAATTCTAAACGAGACATGGTCTGTGGTTGAAGGCGGCATGGTTGGTTGCTGTCAGTTGTTTGGGACTGGATGATTGGTGTTTTTGTTGTCCTTTCGTTGGAGCGGAAAGTGGTTTCTGTGTTGAGAACATGGCGGGCTGACGGGTCTCATTTCCCGTCAAGCCATGGTATTTCTGCGAGAGTCATGGCACAGTTCCAACGAGCGGCCCGGGCATTCTGTGGCACGTCAGAGTGAACGTGGTCGTCGACGACTCAGCAAAACTCATTTCACGCTGACGTGAAGCCGGTATGACTCCTGACCAGGGTAAACCAACACTTGCACGTTGTTGCTTTTTGATTTGTTCAAGCTTGTTCAACAGCAATCGATGAGCTCGCGACGCTTACGGGATATGTATGAATTTGTGTTCTTCATCTGGTCCATTTCCTCTCTTTGCCCTCCAGGGAACCCCATTGACAACGACGAGAGGCCTATCGTCCACTTGCATCTCTCTCTTCTCCCTCAACGCCTTCCGCCCCCCTCTCTAGTCTGGGGTGGTTGTTTCTGCTTGTGTTGTGTAGATCATGTTCGACGACAACAAATGCATGAGAAAGACGTACACATCACATCATGGGGGCACGGTGTCGGTGTTCATAGGACCTCTTGACGTGCCCGTACATGGTGTTTGCTTCGGCATAAACTTCTTTCTGTCGTGCAACGGAAGTGCGACATGTGATACAAGGCTTGCTGTCTTCGGCGTTTACTTGCTTATCTTCCCGTTCCTGCCCTCAAGGATTTCACGCTCGACACCAGCGTCGACAGCCGAGCGTGAGCTCTACCTCAAAGCACGTGCTGCTTGCGTTTTGGCGGGGGTCAGTGACAGAGCGTCGGGCCTACCTGGCTTTGTTGATATCACGTTTACACCCTACGTCCGTTATTTGAATGCGTACAAAGCGGAACAGGAATGCGGATGCCTGTGTAGGGTTACGACGAGGACAAGAGCGATTTCGTAGCCTGACCAGATTCATGTGGGAATCCATGTTCCGTTTGATGAACAAGTGCTTCGCCGGCATGTGTGTATGTGAGGGATTTCCTCTGTACACGCCCGGGTTTCGAGATTTTGTCTTGGTTACCAGGCAAGACATGATTTGTTGGGGCACCCGGAACCCGAACGCCTCGACGTGCGTCGATTTATCTCTTTACATCCTGCTGTGCGTAGCTCACAGGATGGGTTGGCTACGTCCAACATGTCGTTGGAAGTTCGATACCGTTGAACATCTGTTTTACTTTTGTTTAATGACGACATACAAAATTGTGCGTGTAAGCGGAAGGTGATCCCTCGCTTGGAACCAGCTCAACGGTTCGTCATTGCCTTTTCTCAACCGTTGCCTGTGTTTGACCCCGTGAGATTCTTGCCTCTCGCTACCTCCATGCCCGTGTTTCGCTGTTGGCTCGCTCATTTGTGCGTTGCAGGAATTATTCATTGGGGCTCCTGAGGTTGCATGAATGCACAAGGGCCCCGGAGGATCAACGTGAACAAGTTGGTCTAAACAGGTGGCTCATGCTCAATTTCGACGACACGGAGAAGGTGGACTACTGGATTCATGACGCAACGTGAGTGTTGGCCTTTCGTGGTGCTTCAGTCCGCAGATTTTCCAGCAAGTATCAGAGAAAAATACAAATAGACGAATACACCGAACCCCGAGTTACAACGGATGCTATCAGGCGGAGTACTGTTAGTCACATATCGTGTTATATACACCCACAGGATGGTCATCGTGTCGTGACACATTACTTGTGTTTCAGTATAGAAATCCGCAGGGGCTGTAGTGTTTTTTTGGTTACAGCAGTATGGACCAGACATCGACCACCCAAGAACGTTTGCCTATCGCGACGACGAAGCATACTAAAAGCGA